AGAACCTCTCTCAACTCATAACTCAGATGAAATGTTTCATTTTCAGTATTAGTAAACAGGAGAACATCAGCATGATACTGGGATTTCGTATTGGGGGGGTGCACTGATGACAGACAAACAGAAATGAAGCAGGCATGTCAAAAGAGGGTACATCACACTCAGGTATGTACATTTGAAAGCATTTGAGAGTACACTTGAAATTGTCCAGGACGGTCATCCATTGTTGAGAAGAAAAATATTTGTCTTAGATAGGTAAACGTCTTGGACAGTGCCATAATTACAATATTTTTTAAAAAGCAAGACAGGGAAGTAGTAAACTGTTGTCTGTTCAGGTTAGTGTTTTTGACAGGTGACCACTAGTGCAGGTTAGGCAGGCAGAACTTCAAATACGCTCCTTTCTTTCAGCAGAAGAAAGGAATCTTACTAATCATATCGACTGAAAGGTATGGACTCCATGATAAAAGCTGTTGCTGGTCTTAAGTTCTAGTTTCAGTAACAGTTTTAAGGCACTTGCAACACAATACGTTCATATAAGTGCCGAAAATGAGAGGTGTTACAAGAGAGAAACTAACCCAAAAAAGGAGAAGGAGAGATCAGGAGGTTTGATAGTAAACAAGGTGCAAACCACACCAGAGAACCCACCTACCAACTCCGTAACAGGTCAGAGGCCCCCAAAAGTCTCAACAAACTTCCAGAGAAGCATCACCCCCCAAAAGCACAAATGATGTCACACTGTCCAAATACCTTGATTGTCGTTGACACACTGCGGGCCGTCGCGCTGGTAGTTCCTGACGCGCGTGTTGAACGGGCAGTTGACGGGGATCTGCAGGTAGTTGCTGCCCAGTCTGTGGCGGTGGGTGTCGGAGTAGGAGTACAGACGGCCCTGTAGGCGGGAACAAGTCAGTCAAGTATCAGTTTCTTCTCACCCACTTCACTGACTTAATTGGTCGCTTTTAAGCACAAGGGGGATATCCCGAAAAATGCAGTTTTGAGAAAATCGAAGGTGAAGTTTTTGCCCCTTGTTCAGTTTCTTTAAAAGACAAGGAGAGTTTTCTCTATAACCAAACAAATATAGACACCAATAAAACCAAACTTCTGTTATAGGTAGGGCAATGCCCACTTTTGGTGTAGGTCAAGATTTTTGGAAACCCCCTAAATCTGGGTTAGCCCGCTTGTTTTTAAAAGCGACCAATTAACACAAATGATTGAGTGTTAGTTTACCATGTTAAATCAACATGTCGATGATGCATCCTCAAACAGTTCAGGAAAATGGTAAGGACAATACTGGGATGACAAAGTAAGGGGAAGAAACGGGAGAAAAAGTCAATTTGTTCTTTAGTTTGCATAAATTGAAGCATACTGACAACATAATGGAATTTTAGTGCTGAAAAAAAGCAAGACAGACAGACAGACAGACAGACAGACAGACAGACAGACAGACAGACAGACAGACAGGCAGATAGACAAAAACAAAAGGAAAGGAAAAATTAGAACCTACCAGCCATGCCCTCCAACCACATGTGGAGACAAATGACAAACAGAACGATAAAAAAAACAGAGAAAAAGTAAATAAGTAAGTAAGTAAATAAGTTTATTCAGCGTTTAAGGCCATTGGCCCACATCACATCATATAAAAGAGCAGAGAAAAAGAAAGAAAAAAAGGGAAGGGGTTGAGAGGAATGAAAAAATAAAACAACAAAACCGTCATAAACGTACCTGAAGCATTTTGTCGGGGCTGGCCTCAATCCCCGGTACCAGATGAGCGGGCGAGAAGGCCAGCTGCTCCACCTCAGCGTGGTAGTTCTTGGGGTTACGGTTCAGCACGATCCTGCCCACGGGGATGAGCGGGAACTCCCCGTGGGGCCAAACCTGGAAATATGGACACAGCGAAAACACTCATTTTCGAGAGAAGCCCAGTTTTTTTAACATAACTTACTTATTTAAGGTCCCCTTACACCGTCAGGTACACAAAACAGAGAGCTGTCGGCGTCACACTTGTCTGTCCCTGGCCTCTTCTTCAAACCATGGCACATCTAGGCCAACAAGCCGTATAAATGTTTTATTTTCTTAATAATATTTTCAGGAGAACACTGAATTGGTTTGTCCTTTTCTTAAGCAAAGCCAAAATTTTTACTAAACACAGAAAACAATCAATTTGAGGTACTTGACCCAAAGGCTTTGTTCCGAAGGAAAACCAACTGAATAAAAAAGCAGAAATGACACACCAGAACAAATCTTTCACTTGGCGTTTGAAACGTGTTGTTCTACCAATAGAGGGTTTGCACCTCCTACTGGTGTTCAGCAGTTCTGCTTTTGCTGAATGCTTCTGCTGTTTTAACCAAAACAAATCTTTCGTTTTGTGTGCAAAGTATTCTTGTATTTGATTTCTTCATTCAGTTGTCATAAAGAAGCTGTTGCTTCGAAATCCATTTTCTAACAGTGTCTATCAATTTCCCTGATACCAATAATGAGAAACCCACCTTTGTGAGATCGAAGGGGTTCCACCTGAACTTCTCCGCCTCCTCAAAGGTCATGACTTGGATGAACATCTTGTAGGAGGGGAAGTTACCCTCATCAATGGCATTGAACAGATCTCGCTGGGCGTAGTCGGGGTCAGTGCCCTGGAGGTCTCCCGCTTGGTCAGCCATCAGATTTTTTATGCCTTGTTCAGTCTGAGAGAAGAAATACCATTAGCTTTGAACATTTGAGACAAGAGAATTTGAACAGATGGTTGACAGGAAATGAAAAAAGAGGGTGCCAGTCGAAAGGTCAATTTACTTTTAGTAAGAGTATTACAGCACTCGCAATAAGATCATATTAAAGTGCCGTAGATTAGAGGTGTAACAAGAGAGTAACAAATACAAAAGAGAAAGAGGAGAGAAAATGACCACAGACGTTTGATACGAAAGAAGGAGCAAGCCACACCAGAGCACCCCCCCCAAGCATCCACTACAGTCTGTGTCCAAGACAGCTAAAAATAGTCCAATAGAAAAGTGGTTGCCTTTGACAGGTGGACATCTTGGACAGTGTCCTCAAGATATTTTTTTTAACATGAAGGGGAAAGGGAGAAGTAGTCATTTGTGCAGGCAAATGCCTTGGGCACGTGGCCGAGCAAGTTCGAAGGTTTAAGTTTTTGGAGAGCATTTTGTTGATGTCTGTTTAAGACCTGGCAATGAAAGAAGACCTTAACATTACCATGGACTGAAATCCGCTGAAACAAGTCAGCAAGTTCAAATATCTTGGTAGCATCTTTTTGGAAGACGGATGTCTCAACAGAGAAATTGAGACGAGAGTACAAAAGAATAACAGCGTCAGCTACCAGCTTGCCCCACTCCTCAAATATCCTAACATCCCCATTGAGACAAAAAGCCAAGCTCATTAACTCTATATCTTCATCCCCACCTTGACCTACCAGTGCCAGACATGGACCCTGACCAAAAGTCTAGAACGTAAGATAACCACCTGCGAGATGAGATGTCTAAGGAGAACCGTCAACAAAACTAGCCGTGACATGGTCAGAAACAAAAAGATCAGAGAAATGGAGGGAACAACACCTGTCCTCCTCTACATCCGAAGGCAAACAATCAGGTGGTTTGGACATCTCACACATATGGCACCTAACCAGCTTGCCAGTAAAGCGTACTACGGGAAAGTATCAGGGTACAAAGCAAATGGAAGACCAAGAGAGATCTGGATCCAGGGTGTGAAGGATACCCTGAGAACATTCAATATCCCACCCAGCCAGGACATCAAACTCGCTAGAGACAGGAAGCTCTTTCTCCCCTCGACGCCCTAGAGGTACAAGAGGACGGATAAAGTAAAGTAAGTAATGAAAGAAGAAAAATGAGTAGAGAATAATAGCTCTCCAAAAAGTAAAAGAGCACAAAACACAGTGGTGTCCCTTGTCACTGCCAATATTTGAGAACAATCAGAACAGATACTATCCAATTGAATCAAATATGGTGTCCTAGGGCTGTCAAAGACGTGAGGTTCACATTTTTATTATTTTTATTTAGTAGAGGTATTTCAACACTCGTAACTGCATAAAGTCATATGAGCGCCAAGGGGTGGATGTCAACAGAGAAGTCTTTACAGGGAATCAGGCTTACTCTGCTCACCTCTCTAGCTTCAATAGAGAAGTCTTTACAGGGAACCAGGCTTACTCTGCTCACCTCTCTAGCTTCAATAGAGAAGTCTTTACAGGGAATCAGGCTTACTCTGCTCACCTCTCTAGCTTCAACAGCACAAAGTCTGTTTCGACTTTCAAGGCACCCTGGAAATATTAAGTCACAAGAGAGTGACAAACATAAAAAAGAAGTAGAGGAAAATGACAATAGTAAGGATTAGGAAAGAAAAAGCAGCCGTTCCCTGTTGTAGATCAGGCACAGTTATGAGCATGACATGACGAGTCAGCCCATTTACAATTCTACTGTGCATGAACGAGAAATGTCCCCCCTGTGGGAATGGCCTACTAAAAACACTTCAGTCAATGGCACCGTCCCAAGGGGGTGTCACATTTTTTACACAATGAACTGTAGTAGAACTTGCAGTGCATGGTACAGAGTGAGCAAGAAAACAAAATAATGCAGAGGAAACTACGACCCCCCCAAAAAAACCCAAAAAAAACTCACTGTATCTTGTAGTCTAATTTATAGTACATGATAGAGAATTATGCAAAAACACGGTACCTTGTAGTGGAACTTGCAGTACACAGCCTGGTCCTGAGCGTTGACCAGCTTGAAGGTGTGGCTGCCGTAGCCGTTCATCCGGCGGTACCCGTCGGGCGTGCCGCGGTCGGAGAACAGGAAGGACACCTGGTGAGTGGTTTCTGGCCGCAGGGAGATGAAGTCCCAGAACATGTCAGGGTCCTGGAGAAACACAGAACAGGTTTGTTTAGAGTTAATTTTTTTTTTTATTTAAAAAATCGGCTATTCTACACGATGGCATCTCTTACCTAAGTACAACCTGGCTAATGGGCCTCCTACTAAAAAAAAGCCTGGCCAAATTTTTTTAAAATTTAGTTTTGATAAGTGTTTTAAAGTATTTGAAACACAATAAGGTCATAAAAGTGGCAAAGATTAGACGTGTTACAAGAGAGTAACAAATACAAAAAAGGAGGGGCGATAAGGACGATAGATGTTTGATAGAAAAAAAGGAGCAAACCACACCAGAAGACCTGCCAACCATCAACCGTAAAAATTTAAGGTTAACACTTGACTGGTAAGAGACATAAACATCCAAACTGCTACTCACGTTTGAAAAAACTATTATAAATGTTCAGTCTTCGAACACAACATTCAACACAATTTTGTACAAGAAGCAAAAAAATATTTTTGTAAATGTTTTAAACTAACAAAAAGCAGACGAATCCATTACCTTCAAGTTTGTCACTGGATTTCTTTTCTGAGTGTGAATAAAGCTTGGAAACTGTAAAAAAGAACAATATACAATGCTGAATCAAAAGATATATTACAAGAGTACCGGTATCAGAATCAGAGAAAAAAATGAACATGTCCGAAGGCCATATCTTGTTAATAGGAGAAAAAACAGAAAAAGCACTTTTTTACTAAAAATCTCAACTATCGGATGAAATAAAACTGAGAAAACAAAATGTAATCTGCTTCAGAGAATGTTGATAACTTGAATTTTAACCCCTTTCCTTAATCTGTATATGAACTGTCCTGTTCCAAATCTCATATCATAGCAATTTTCCATCTTGCCAATATCAAAATCAAATTCCTTTTAGAAAGCTATATGGGTTATGACTAGAAATATTAACATCCATAAAATGTTACAGGACACCTCCCCCTCCCTCTCTTCCCCCACCCCATCACTATGTTTACATTTTAATTAACAGCAAATTCTTAAGCTGAGGCTACTGGTTTTAACATCAAAACAACCTTTCATTACAAACTATCCCAAAGTGGACTGCTAATGAACACAACCACTCAAACTCACCAGCATGGGATCCCTGATGAAGAAGATGGGAGTGTTGTTGCCCACCAAGTCCCAGTTGCCCTCGTCGGTGTAAAACTTGACAGCGAAGCCACGGGGATCTCGTGCAGTGTCAGCCGAACCTTTCTCTCCACCTGGGGGACACAAGTAAAGAATTAGGAGGAAGCATTCAAAATGATAAAAGCATGACACAGGAACATAAGACTCATGAGGAAGCATCAAAGCGACAAAGTAACATAGACTTATTTCGTTTTAGTAAGAGTTTTACAGCACTTGCAAGACAATAAGGTAACATAAAGGCCCAAAAATAAAAGGGGTAAAAAGAGAGAACAAACACAAAAAAGAAGGAGGAGAGATAAGGACAATAGGTGTTTGATAGGAAAGAAGGAAAAAAACCACACCAGAGCACCTGCCAACCACCCACAAACATGGACTTATGAGGAAGCCTCAAAATGACAAAGGAACCTATACTGATGAAGAAGCATCAAAACGACAAAGACATATGACACAGGAACATCACATGACATAAACGTAACACAGCTGAGCACACTAATATATAAACACTTCTGTGTGAAGGAAGTTAGGAAACATTACGGTAGTAACAGGTACCTTAAGTAAATGTAGATTAACAATCATCTGGCCATACAGACTCCTAAACTCAAAGGAGAACAGTGGAGCGGGTAGCATGACAGATCCAGTCAAATTTATGAGATAAAACAAAACAAAATAAAACCAACAGAAATGAGACTTTATGAGACTATAGAATATAAGTAGAAGAACAATTCAGTTTGGAATACTTTAACTTAGACACTGTTAAACCAAAAGCTTCACAGCATCCTAGTAGGTGATATATAACTCAACCTTGCACTAACCTACGGTGGAAAACCTGACAGCCAGGGGTGTCCTTTTGCCGACATGCTCAAAGATCTTTGCTTTGCAGTATTTTGAAACATCATGGGTGACTTCGAAGTATCCAAAAGCACCTGAAATGAAACAACAAAACGTTGTAGATATCAGAAAGTCAATATCAGATGAAACGACAAAGAAAAGATGACACACAGACCAATCATTTCTTTCCTCGAACAATTGACAGATAATAGTTCTACAATCTTAAAGATTCATTCTCTGCGGATCGAAGACACTCATTCTACACAAACACCATTGCCTTATCTTTGAGTGAGTTCAGTCTGAGAAAAGAGAAGTGCATCTATCTTTCCATAGCCCTTTGTGTTGTCCTTTATTTCTTTATGATATTTCTAGTATCTGGCCAGGTTTGACACCCATGGTTTATCACTGGGACAAGGCACTGATTAAAGACATGCCCTTTTAAATGTTACAACCATACAAGCATTAAATACAGCATCCTCCTTCTCTCTCTCCTGCTCTTCCACCAAAAATCAAAATCAAAACTTTGCTCCCAAAAATCAAACTTGACACTATATTTCTGGATTCCCCCTTGTCAAACTATTTTTAAAATGAAATCAGACATTCTTAGATGATAAAAAATATATAATCATTTACTGACTGCTCT